ATATATTTTATATATATGGTATTTGTGAAGTATATTAAATATATAAAATATACGAAAAATTTATGTGGGTACTCAAATGAAAGCTCTTGATGAAGGTAACATCAGGATGAGCTTATACCTTAAAAAATGTCAATAATTAAGAACTGACCTTGCTATCTTGTCAACTAATGACATTTTTAAAGATATAAGCTCACCCCGTCATAACACTCGTCGAGACCTTTTATTTGAGTACCCACATCAATTTTTCATATATTTTATATATTTATATATATGTATATATGAAAAATATATGAAAATGCATGTATATCTTAAAAAATCTCAATAATTAAGAAAAGACCTTGTATCTTGTCTACTACTGATATTTTTAAAGATATAAGCTCGTTCCGATGTTACACTCAACGAGAGCTTTCATTTGAGTACCCACATGCATTTTTATATATTTTTCATATTTACATATATATAAAATATATGAAAAATTGATGTGGGTACTCAAATGAAAGCTCTTGATGAGTGTAACATCAGGATGAGCTTATATCTTTAAAAACGTCAATAATTTAAGAAAGTACAATGCAATTTAACAAAAATTATTTAATAAAGCAAAATTTTGTTTATTTATAGTTCACAAATCACGGAAGTCACATAGTGACTGCAAAATTGCTAGTAATTTTTATTTAATTTTCACATGTGGAATTTTTTTTCATATTAATTTGTTATAAAAATTGAAAAAAAATTTCTAATGACATTTAACTTCAATATCATTGCAAATTAAAACCCCCATGAATTTTTCTGGATAATAAATAAACAAAAAGAAATAAAAAAAAAAATGATTATTTATTCTTCCACTTAAAATTCTTGTTTTTCAAAAGGAACCAACATATTTATTACAATTTTTTTTGCCAATATTTCCACACATATAAAATTACCCTCCACCATAAATTAAAATACCGCCGTTCGGTCAATTCCTCAAGACACTTCAAACTATTCTTCAAAATTGCAAGGATAGTTAATAGAGGAAATCTTAAAAATTGTATAATTAATTTTCAAATTTCCGTAATGCAGTTGTAATAAATAATCCATGACTGCACAAAGTGACCGATCAATACGCATTAACGCATCCATATTCTCTTTCACCATAATAGTATCCGAGTGATCGATTGCCTGAATTTATAATTAGACAGACAGCCACTAACGGCAGTGAAAAAATAATAACTAAGGTCGTCTTAATACTGTCACAAATCCTCACTCTTACATAATTAATTAATTAATTAATAAAATAAATAAAAGCGTTAACAATAAACAGCAATTAATTTACATTAGCATTAACTGATTATTTATTACGTCTTTGAATCTCGGTGGCGGACTAGAGCTTTGAAAAATAAAAATTAATTTAATTTAATCTTACTCTTCTAGTACACTTACAAATATAAAATTAGCAATATTAATTATAATTATTACTTCACACGGATTAAATTACTCGTAACTTATAACTATTACTTATTTTTATCATAGTCCTATAAATAAATATCTCCCTAGTCTACATGAACAGTAAATATTTTCATAAGTCATAAGAAACGTATCGAAATAAAATACACTATGTATACATGTCAATAATAATAATGTCAATTTACATATATGTATAATATAGTATGACTTCTTAGCGTTTGATTGTAACCACTCGGCTAATATGTTTCCCTTCTCATTCCATTATTTATACACTTAAATACTCTTTTTACAATTTTTTAATAACTTTTTTTATTTTTAATTTATTAAGGCAAAATCTTAAATCGTCCGCTGAATTAAAACGTTTGTTTTTTTTTTTTTTTTTTTTTTAGATGCGCTGTACCAAAAAACGGAATTAGCGGTTATTGCAATTGCACCATAAAGTGTCCCGGCAGAGTGAAGAATAAGAACAAGATGATACTGAAGTAAGCTGACAAAATTTTTTTTAATTTTTATATTTCAAATTTTTTGGACTTAAATTTAGCTGTCACAATTTTCTAATTTTTTTTTTTTTTTTAAAACAAATTTGTTCCAAAAAATTGAATTTTTTATTTTTACAAATCAATTTTTTTCATAATTTAGTTGTTAAGAATTTATTAAATATCTGTTGAATGAATTTCATATATATATATGAAATTAAAATTAGCAGTCATTTGATAATTTTTTTAATTTAATTTAACAAAAAAATTTAATTAAAAAAATTGAATTTTTACATGTCAATTTTTTTTTTCAAAATTTATTTGTTAAAAAATAGATTAAATACCTATTAAATTAATTTCATATATATATGACATTAAAATTAAGAGTCAGTTAATCATTTTTTAATTATATATAATAACCAAATTTGTTTAAAAAAATTATACTTAAAAAATTGTGTTTTTAATTTTTTCTAATTTCTAAATTTCATTTTTTTTTTTGTTATAATTTATTTGTTATAAATTAATTTAAATTTCATAAGAATTTTCAAATAATAATTTAATAATTATGGAATAAAAAAAAAAATTTCTGTCAGCTTCAGTGTCGTCAAATAAGACAAAGAGTACTTAGTAAGTACCACAAATATAATCTCCATTTAATATTTAATACCTAGGAGTAACGCATAGCTTGACCATGTGAGATCTACGCTCTTAGAGAAGAAATAGTGAGCATGCATGTAAGAATGAGAAATATACTGGGAAAATATTAGAGCTTAGAAGTTAAAGACTGAAAAGTGTCTTGTGAATAATAATTACAAGACGGTAATAACGTTCGGTCGTTCAGAAATTCAGACTTAGCTGCGTAAAATATTTGTAGGCCGAGAAGTCTGTTTAGAAGCCCTTGATCACTCCGTAGGCCTCCAGGGTTGACATGATCAGGTAGAAGACCCACAGCGAGAACAGCAGCCCGGATGTGATGATTTTAATCCCGATTGGGCCTCCCAGTTCTCCGCCGATGGCCTTCGATCTTCGGATCATCAGCACGATTATCACGATGCAGGCTTCTGAACAGAAGAGAGTTACGGAGAAGGCCAGGCTGTAAACAGAAAAAATTTTTTTTATCAGAAAATTGATAATTTTTTGTGCTATCGCATGTTCTCGGTGCAGCAGTCTGTGAAGGGCATGAAGAGTACTCGTTTACTCTGACGCATCAAAAGGTTGCGTAACGGAAGAGAGACAGGCGAGATTACGTCGGGATAGTTGACGTTGCCTCTAGTTCGTCGTTTAGTTAAACACATCAAGTTTAATTAAATTTATAATTACATTAGTAAGTTTTGCTTGCGCTGGACATGCTAAGCGCTTTTTTTTTACTGTGTACCTTCGCAAGAGGTCACTTTGTTGTCTTTATATAGTTGCATACATTGATTTTTAATTTATTAAGTAAAGGTTTAATTAAAGTGTTTGGTATGAATTTATACTGATAATTTTACTCAAGTTTTTGTGGAACAAGAACAATTTTTTATTTTAAGAATTTTTTTGCTTGATTAAAAATTATTATACTCTTTAAAATAATTTTTTTTTTTTAAAGAAAGTTAATTTTGTTATTATTATTTTTGTGATTAAATGTTTAAACGTCATTTTTAATTGAATTAAAAATTAATTATGGTGTCTTTTTAATTAAACAAAATAATACAATTTAATGATTTTAATTTTTAACAACTCTAAAAAAAAATGAACTTGATTCAAGAGAAAAATTCTTAAGTTTTAACAATTTCTTATTTTAATAATTTTTCTGTAATTAAAAACTATCATACTCTTTAAAATAATTTTTTTTTTAAGTAAATTAATTTTTTTAATCATTATTTTGCAATTAAATCTTCAAACATCGTTTTTATTAACTTCAAGACGTCTGAATAATTTTTAAATATCTACAAATATAAAAAATTGATGATATTGCAATTCTTTAGTAATTTTGTTTCAAAATTTTAATTAGAATCATCACAATAAAAAAATAAACTAATTTTATAGTTAAAAAATTAATTATCTATAAAAAAGGCAGTAAATAGTGTCTTTTTAATTAAATAAAATATTGCAGTTTAATGCTTTTAATTTTTAACTACTCAAAAAAAAAAAAAAATTAACTTAATTCAAGGTAAAAATTATTTTAAAGAGTTTAATTTTCTTAATTTAAGGAAAAAAATGTTTGAATTAATAAAATTTTCTTAATTTAAGAAAAAATTAACTTGATTAAATTTTTTTTAGTCGAATAAAAACAATGAAACTTTTAAAAAGGTTTCTTTTTTTTAAGTCAAGTTAATTTTTGATTAAAAATTTTTAAAATGTTTTTTAAAAAAATCAAACTAAAAAGTATAAAATAATTAAAAAAAAAAAAATGTTTTATAAAAATTTGTCTATTAGTAAGCAAGCAAACATTTTTTTATCTTTATTCTGCAGATGTAGAGTAAGAGTGAAGTATGTACTTACTTGCCAGGCTCCACCCTAAACTGATTGCCGTGGTAGGCATGATATATGGCGGCAATACTCCACGCGATACCGATGCCCAGGAAGACGTTCACTGCGTTGCTGCCGGTCACGTTTCCGACACTAGCGTCTGCATACTTGTCCTGACATGCAGCCACCTTGCTGGCAAACGTGTCTGAAATTTAACGACAAAATTTCAAGTTTAGTCTCTACTCTTGCTACAAGAACCATCTCCTGTTTTTATCGCCCATCGGCATCCGAGCATCCGAGTCATCTCGTTTCTGCTCGGACGCCATAAATTTACGAGTTAAATTTTTTCTCCAGTCTAGACTTATATTGTTACGTAACATCAGAACTATTTTGTTGATAGTGTAACTTTGAATCAACTTGGCCAGTTGATTTCTCGTCAGAAGCACGGAGAGACAAAGTTTAAAAAATAAAAGTTTCTAAGTAAAGCTGAGATAGCGATCGGAATCCTGGAAATTTCCTGGATTATTTGTCAAGAGTTATTTTGTAAATGCCTTTAGTATCAAACTTTGTGTTTTATTATTGCTAAAAACAAGAGAAAAAAATTATTTCTTCTTTTATGTAAAAGGAGAAATAATAATATTGTTTTCAACAAAAGCAAAAGCTAAAAGTTTTAGCGAACCCCTATTAACGAGGTGAAAAAATATTGTTCAGGAGTAATTATACAGTTAACTGGTGAATATCGACTCGACGCACTCCAGTCGAATGAAAACTCTCAATAAAGTTTTCCTTTCCGTAAACGGAGGACAAAACTGAGGAACAATTTAAAGTATTGATGTATTCATTTTAACTGGGACAATGTAATTATCGTCTTCTTTAATTACTGTGCAAATGCAGCAACTGCAACTATCAACTTGATAACGAGTTGATAACTTATGCTTACTCCATTGATGGGCGATGACATCGAATTTATTGCTTTGTTGTTCGGAACATTAAAGTTTACTAATGGAGTAAGTTGGAAGTTCTTTTTAGTTTTATGATTTTATTGTTTCTTCTTTTTTCAGATTGGAATTTATAATTAATTCTTTTGATAAATATTTATTAAAATTGATTATTTTAATTTTAATGAGATTTAAAAAGAAAAATTGATTCGAAAGAGTAATTTTACTATTTTTAATAAAATTTAAATGTTAAATTTTTAATAAATAAAACAAAATGAAAATTTAATAACATACATTAAAATGATCTTAATTAATAATTTTTTTTTCAAAATTAATAAATAACTAGCAACTTTGCAGTCACTGTAAAATATAAATATATAAAATTTTGCTTTATTAAATAATGACTTTTGTTAAATTTCACTGTACTTTCTTAAATATTGACTTTTTTAAAGATATAAGCTCATCCTGGTATTACACTTATCAAGAGCTTTCGTTTGAGTACCCAGTCTTGATAAATGTAATATCAGGATGAGCTTATATCTTTAAAAATGTCATTAATTGACAAGATAGCTAAGTCAGTTCTTAATTATTGACATTTTTTAAGATATAAGCTCATTCCGATGTTACACTCATCAAGGGCTTTCATTTGAGTACCCACATGTATTTTTGATATATTTTTCATATGTACATATATATTATATACATAAATATATAAAATATATGAAAAATTAGTGTGGGTACTCAAATGAAAGGTCTCGATGAGTCTAACTTTGGGATGAACTTATATCTTTAAAAATGTCAATAGTTCACAAGATAAAAGGTAATTTCTCAATTATGTATCTAGATTTATTTAGGATAATTTTTCTTATCTCTTAATAATATAGATTATTTTATTAAATTTAAAAATTCTTCCTTATAAAATGTCTAAGCTGCTCATCGTAGTGTCATCTAAGGATATTGATTTTATCTAGACACTGACCGTTAACATTCGATTGAGTATTTTATCAGTAGAAGAGTATTTTCTGAAGGCGGTGGCCTTGAGGAAAAAATAACATTAAGAAGTATCGAGCTGATGGCCCAATAAAAGAGAGCAAAACCTTCACTATCGATGGGATTATACTAATATAATACACACAGATAGCCTCTGTGTGGTGTGTTATGTGTTGTTATTGTACTTGACGCCCGTATTTATGATTATGTAAATAGGCAAGTTATTTTAAAATAAAATAATTCATAATGAAATGTTCGCCAGATTTACTTTTTATATAAGAGTTTATGTGAAGAGTTTTTTAAAGTGGATGTAGCTGAGAGAATTGAGTTGAGGGAAGCCATGCACAATTTACCCTTTACATATATATATTTATATAAATATATGAACTGGGGTAAGTAGTAGGAAATTGAGTTCGTCTGAAAATTCAGCCCTGAAAATAGAGATTTTGTATTCAGGGCAACAAAAATTCTCCAGCAAAGTAAAAACTCGAGGAAGAAAAATAAAAGAATTTTTAGAAATGTTTGGTGGTGATTCAAGACCTCGACAAGCAATTTCGAGCATGACAGGCTTTTCCTTTACTCACTCATGCATGCGGTTAAGCTTTGTACTGAGCGGGGAGCAAAAGAAGTGCCGAGACTTATATTCCATGTTGCTAGTGACATATATAAAACTTGTTATAATTATTAATTATAAACAAATATTTTTTTTGTTTTTTAAGGGAAAATTAATTAGCGGAGCAATTATGGCTACGACTTGGATTTGCTTATTACAGAATAAAGCAACTCAGCTTTTGCTCTTGCTCTTGCTTTGGATGACAGGACGCGAAAGCTTGTTAATAAGACCTCCTCGGGGTTTCTGATTAATTAATCTTGATCCATTATCGGTATTTAATATACCGTTGTCAGGATACGAGATTTAATCCTATCAATGTTTAATATAATTCTGATGCTACGGGGTTTTATGCGCTAAGCTTATTTGTTCGTAGTTATCGGCATCACTAACTTTTAAAACTGTCGGGTAAATTTTAAAGGCGAAGATTGTTGGAGACTGATAAAATAAATTTGTTTTATTAAAGAGATTAATTTTTTTTAATAAGATATTAAAAAAAAAATTTTTTTTTACTTGTTCTAAAATAATTAAATTATTTAAAAAATAAAATTAGAATTTTTTTAATAATTAAAATGTTTTAAAAATAAATTTTAATTAATAATTCACTCATTTTAATTTAATTAATATTTTTTTTTTTAATAATTAAATTATTTAAATAAAATAAAATTTATTTTTTTTTTTTTAATTAAATTATTTTTGGTGAAGAAAATTTTCAAAAAAATAAAAAATTATACTTAAATGTTTCTCATTAATGTTTTTGTCCACCAAAATTTTTTTATAAATATATATTTGAACATCTAAAGAAAATAAAAAAATATTTATCTCTAAAGTTTAGTCATAAATAAAAAAAATGTCAATATTAAAACTTTTTTCATTTCCCACCGGTCTCGTTTTATTGAAAAAATAGTCCGACTGTTTTAAAAAAGCTTCAATTTTATTACATTTTCTAAAAGTAGCAAAAGAAGCTCATTTTTATTCTATTTTTATAAAATATATTGCTTTCCAAAAGGAGTTTATACAAACAATTTTATTTTATTTTAGTTAAAAAAAAAACAACTTACCGGGTATGCTAGTGCCGAGAGCCACAAAAACAACAGCAGTTACTGAATCTTTGATCCCCAAAGTGCATCCAAAGTATGAGGCCACATCTCCGATGACAGCAGTGACCACTCCGATACCTGCTATGCTGACTACGAAGCACAAATATCCACCGGCAATGTCTGTAACACAATTTTAAGTAAATAACTAAATTATTCAAGTCAATTATCTTGTTTAAAAAATTTTATCGAATTTTTTTTTTATAAATAAAAATGTAATATGTCTTATGAAAAATAACAATTACAATTTTTTAGTAAAAAAAATTCTTAATTAAATTTAAATAGTTGAAAAAAAAAATTTATTTATAGTTTCAAACTTAACTCTCTAGTAGTGAGAAGTTTAAGCGACAATGCGCCGCCTGTCGGAGAATTTTAATACTAAATTCAGTCAAAAAAATTACATAAGCATATCGATGATTTTTAAAGTGATTTTTTGGAAAAAAAATTTTTTTTTAATAATTCAGCTCATAAATTTAAAATTAGTTTTATTCTGGTCATTAGCGAATAAATGAAGCGACCATTAAAAATGTCGGAAAAAAGATAAAACAGTTTGAATTTAAGAGAGTTGCGATTACCTGAAGCCAATTAAAAAAAAAAAAAAAAAACAAATAATAACAATTATTGGTTTTTAATCAATGGTGTTGAAATAATAACAAAAGTGTCAAGTGAATAAAAAGTCACTTGTTAAAGTCTGAAGTCAAGAGGTGAGCCCGGGTAGGCTTCAAAAAGACTAATTAGACGTGAGAATTACCCAAGAGCCATTTTATACCTTTTCATTAATTTTTCACGCTCTCCTTTTCTTTAATTAGAACTTAACTGCTAGTTTGCTTGATCCTTTCACAGAAACTCTTTAGCCTGCAGTGTTAATATTGTTTTAATTTTATTTTAGGATTTTTTTAGCGATGAATAGAAAATTCCAGCAGCCCGAAAAGAATAAAAGTTTGAATTTTCTTTTCAATAAAATAAAATGATGGCACAATGTCTGGACGTAGATGGATGTAAATAAATATATGCATTTGTGTGTGTGTGTGTGTGGCGCAGATAACGGGTCTTTCAAAAGCACCAATTTTGATTATCGCTCACCAACACCAGAATATATTTCATCAGATTAAAATGCTCGCAAAATGAAATGAATACAGCATGTGAAATATTTCCGACCGGAAAATTCACACCGTTTTTATGTCCCTACTGCAAATACAACCAGCTGAAAATGAAACTAGAGCTGGTGCTGTTTGACGTTTTTAACGGATGTACGATGACGACCTTTTTATTTTATATTCATCGCTTCGAATCTTCCTCTATTCCGAGTTGGTTTAATTTTAATTCGGTAGTTTTTAATTAACTACCGGCTTGATGAATAAAAGGTCAGATTTTACCCAGCAAATATTTAGTACAAGGTTAATTTTTTTTATTTTATTGAGTCAAAAAATATCCGCGGTTTTGTAGTTTAGTTACTCGGGAAACTTTCGAGAATTGTTGTTGTATCTGCCGACTTTCGAGGAGCAATAATAATCTCGGTTAAATTACTTTTAGGAAGAAAAGAAAAAAGTGAATGAGTTAAGTCACGTGAGCGCCTGCCCAAAGAAAGTGCTCGAACGTTTTTCCCAAGCATATATCCTCGGAAAATATTAAATGGTGCTTTTATTGTGATTGCGTTGTAAATATTTGTGGGGAATTGGCTTTAGTTTTTTTTTGCAGGGTTAAAAAATTTTGAAGAGAAGTTTAATAATAAAATAGCATTTTCCAAAATTTTTTGTAAGTATGGAAAATTTTGCTGCAGAAAAACGGAGAATTGCTTCGAATTTGGTGTCAATGGAAAGGAAATTTTGTAAGCTATATATTTTATATCACAATTTTCTTCTAACTTTAGTATTTTAAGAGTTACAGCTATTTAAAGATGAAGAAAAATAATAATGATCATTATATTTATTTATGTATTGATTATTTAATTTCAATGCCAAAACAGTATAGCCAAATGGCAAAAGTACACAAAAAAAATTTTTTTAATTAAATATACGTAAGAATATTAAAGATATAAAATTTCAAAATTTTAGATATTATGAAAACATCGTTTTTCTTAAGTTTAGAATTTAATTATGATAAATACAAGAACAGTATAAATTTGAATATAAAAATTAAAAATTCAAGAGTTAAACTTTGTGGTGCAAAATATAAAAAGATGATAATTTAAGATGATAAACTCAATGTAACAAAAATGTGTGAACTTGTTTTTTTTTTTTTTTTTTTCTTTCAATTTCTAGGATAATTGATTGCAATTTGGTATCATTAGAAGGAGAATTTCATCAGCTATAAATTTTTTTGAAATTCAGTACACTAATAAAAAAATTAACTTGAATTAAGAGCCAAAATCTTGAACCAAGAATACCATTTTGAAGAAAATGATTTTTTTGAGTCAAGTGAATAAATTCTTGAGTTAAGAAATTATTCTTGGTCTAAGAAAATTTTCTTGTCCCAAGAATTTATTCTCTTGACTCAAGAAAATCATTTTCTTCAAGATTTTGGCTCTTGAGTCGATTTATTTTTCTATCAGTGTATTTTAGGAGTTACAGCTGTTGAAAGATGAAAAAAATAATAAAGGTATTAAATTTTTGATTATACTTGTAATTTTTATGTTTCTAGGATAATTTAAAGGACAATTACTTAAAGTTTGGTATTATTGGAAAGAAAATCAAATTCCCCACAATTTTATTTTTACAAAAAGTTCCTTAAATCAAAACATCAGAAGTTACCTCAATTTATATCCCCAAAAGCTCAAAAATTTCCAAAATAAATATCCCCGTCAATAGAATTGATTACTTCAGAATAAAACTCACTAATTCGACAACAAACCAATACGGAGAACATGAGAGTAAATGTCTGGTTCGATGTCATGCATACCAAATCTAAGTAGACAATTATTTACACAAACACAAGCGACCTGTGCAGAATCTAGCGAAACAAGGCACTACACTCCGGGATATAAATCTCGAATGGGATTCGACAGGAATGAGGTAATATCCGATGGTGTATCGTTCGGAGCGCATCTGTGGCACGATCTCAAAAGGCCATTAGACTCTCGCAAGTGCGATCCATATATCATCAGCCCCGGCTTGGTCCAAGCGCAGTCCGAATAAAAGGACAGAAATGAGAATACGAGAGTTTATTTTCATTTATTCTCCCATAAAGGATGAAAAGTGGTAATGCAAGTGATGAGAATGAGCTCTGATGCACTGACCAGTGTCCTGCGGTAATTCTGCGCCGAGATTATCTGAGGAAGCTCAACCGAGTCTGTCCAAACGATTAGGTATGTTTAACAGGTTCGCTGGATGGTTTGTTCTGGGGTAACATGACCCAGTTTCCTCGAGGAATTATGGCGGCACACGTGACACACATCCTGATGCCGAAACCCGCAGCTCCGCATATACCATCCAGTTTCCTGTCATTTCATTTCAGGGCTCACTCTGCTCAGCTCTGCTCTATGGTCTCTTGGTTTATTGCTCCGGAAAAGGGCGACTACCCTCATACTTTACTCAAGGATCAGCTCTAGGCGCTAAAACCTAAAACCTCCGCCTAGATGGATTCACTAGAAGGGAGTGGAGACACTGCTAGATAACGGGCGGGGTTTATATCCCAAAAAGTATCAAATTTTATGGGGTTTTGTACCGCTAATACTTGTTTAATGCCCCCAACTGCAAAATAAATTTAACAAAAGTGTAACTCTGTATATCATTAAAACTTTTTCCAAGCTGGATCCTCCTCCGGGGAGTTTGCTTGTTAAATGCCTCTGGTGGAATTATTTTTGGACTCTTTGTTTTGAGATTACAGCCCGTAAAAATTTTTTGATATAAAAATAACCTTGTTAGGTCGAATATAAGATCAATAAGTAAACTTACGACATATTTAGCTTGTTATTGATGATTTTTTGACAAAAAAAAATCGTATTTTTTATTAAAAATTCATAAAAGTACCGTCAATATGCCTCTATGTAATTTTTTTTACTTTAGTACTAAAAATCTCCAACAGGTGGCGCATTGTCGCTTAAACTTCTCACTATAAGAGACTTAAGTTTGATAATATAACTAAACTTTTTTTTTTTTTAATTATTTAAATTAAATTAAGAATTTTTTTACTAAAAAAAATGCAATTGTTATTTTTTATAAGAAATATTAAATAGTATATCAAATAAAATTATTTAATTATACAAAATAATATAAAAAATCGTACTTTTTATTAAAAATTCACAAAAGTACCGTCGATATGTCTCTACTTAATTTTTTTAACTAAATTTAGTATTGGAAATCTCCAACAGGTGGCGTATTGTCGCTTACGCTTCTCACTACAAGAGAGTCAAGTTTGAGAATATAACTAAACTTTTTTTTTAACTATTTAAATCTAGTTAAGAATTTTTTTATTAAAAAAATAGCAATTTTTATCTTTTTTAAAAAATATTAAATAGTATATCAAATAAAATTATTTAATTAAAATAGAATATAATTTGGGCTAAATAAAATGGAATAATTTTACAAAATAATAGAAAAAATAATATTTTATCTAATTTGATATCAATAAAGTACTTTAAAAATTAAAACAAATTTTTTTCACTCTTTTAAAGAGTTTATAATTAAGCACTTAATTAATTTTTGTTTAATATGATATAATAATTGGCATTATTTAGAAAATATATGAGTTAAAAGTGAATTTATTGAAAAAAACTTTTAAGGATATAAATTTTTAATTCAAGACTATAAAATCCAAGAAAAGAATAAAACCTATTATTATTTTTGTTTGCCCGAGTTTCTAAAGCGAATGTTTGCGTGTATAATTGTCGAGGATTAATCCTGCGGTACGGGTGGATAACCTTCGAAGGTAAACAGCTGTAAACAATGGAAGTAGATATTGCTCGACGGGTAGTTAAATTGGATTGTGTAACCCGTTCATTCTGTTCCTTAAATGTTTCTCGGAAAATCCACACCCTGTTACTGAAATTAATACGCGTTGATTATTCACGTTTTTTGACGTTCTTATAACGAGCTCGTTCATACACGACAGAAGTATAATTCACTCCGTGGGGATCTGAGGCCCCATAAATTATGCAGACACTAAATTCCAGTGACATAAACAGTCTAAATGCTCGAATGCCCATCGCTTAATTTATTGTTCTTTCCCCCTCTTCCTACACCAGAATTTAGTTCCCTTCGAATCAATGCGCCCCATTTTTTTATTTTTTATACTGGAAGACTCGACGAACCGAAAATAAATTTCGTTCGATTTGTTTTAAAACTCCGTTTAATTTTATTCCAAGTCCTGTCGCGTTCCGGCGCCTGATTAAATCCCAGTTTTTGTGATTCCTGATAACGTATTGATTTGGGCTTATCTCCTCGCAGTTGAGGAGGAGATCCAAGTCCCTCTCTATACATAGTAAGAACTCTATATACATATACTCATACCCCGAGTCAGGATCATAAGTGGCTTCGTATTCGGATAAAAAGTCGGGCAAATCCTATTACAGATTTATCTCCCGGCGATTTAGTCATTACTTATGCCGGTTTAAATGCACAACGCACTGAGCACAAAGCCTTAAGTTATTGGAGGAAAAGCCACCAGCAGCCACTCGATTTCCATATCACTTTGTATCGCATCTAATCTCCTACCCTGGCTCACGATAATTTTATTCACCGCGTGACATACGCGCAAGATAATCGCGGAATGTCGGAGCTTGTTCTATAAGACCGCATTATTTGGAATAAAATAAGGTAATAATA